GACCCCCAGAGACCTTGACAAGCTAGCCAGAAAAATCCCAGCAGTCACATGGCCAGGAAAATAATAGTTCCTACTTTATGCAGGACGAGCAGTAATTTAGAACGGTGGCGTCATTTTAAACATTGCTTGCAAGCAGACCCAGTAATCAATCCTATCTGTCTCATAAGTTTTAGTAACTTCTTATCCATGCGCATACCGGTTTCTGATCAAAATCAGATAAAACTATAGCTTGAATGTGCCTTCCTACAAGCAGTAGAAAGTTTTCAGTGCTATAATGTGTTTAAATCGTACGATAAGAAACTAACCTGATTTTAGCGAAGAAATCCTAATTTCTGTCGTTAGTGAAGCATAGGTCTTTTTCTGACGACGTAATCTCAGATTAGCAGCTTATATAAATGGTACCAGAATAAATCGGTCTGATCTTGGGCGAAGAAATCCCCTTTTTCAGCACTGTGTAGGTGATCTGAGTGATGCTCCTCATTTCACTGATTTAAGGCCTTATTATGTGTTATGTATCATTGTATTCATATGGATCCGCTCATGTGAAACATTTACGTAACTTCTTATACATGCGCGCACCAGTTTCTGATCAAAATCAGATAAAACTATAGCTTGAATGTGCCTTCCTACAAGTAGTAGAAGTTTTCAGTGCTGTAATGTGTTTAAATCGTACGATAAGAAACTAACCTGATTTTAGCGAAGAAATCCTAATTTCTGTTGTTAGTAGAGGGTGCTCCTTTTCTGACGACGAAATCTCAGATTAGCAGCCCGTATAAATGGTACCAGAATAAATCAGTCTGATCTTGGGTGAAGAAATCCCCTTTTTCAGCACTGTGCAGGTGATCTGAGCGATGCTCCTCATTTCACTAATTTAAGGCCTTATTATGTGTTACGTATCATTGTATATCTTTAGCTGCTTGAAGTCAATTAAGGGTTCAAAGCGATTAAGCAGGTCTTTTCCAATGAGGAGTGTGAAAGTGTTGAGTGGTGAGAGATGTATCCTGGGTGAACGAGGTCCATTGGTCCCACAGTTAGGTGAATTGGGGCCATATGTTTTAGCTGTAGGCCCATGTTGGAATATGCTTCAAGGTTCAACTCGTTTGAGGGTGCTATTAGACCTCTTTGTTCTATCTTGGAGGAGTTCAAGGAGTTCAGTTGACACGAAGGAGTGCTGTTCTCTGTGGCTGGTTGGGTCAGCTGGTCGCTGCCTTCTCTTCCGGCTGCTAGTCAGGCTGACTCAGGTTTCTCTTTATTTTCCCACTTCCGATCCTCCTCCTTTCGGTGGAAGAACTCTTTCATCATCGTTTTCATCAGCTCTTGTGAGTCGAAACACTGTAGTGTCTTTTGTTCTTGTGTGGATTCAATTTGAGCTCAGTCAGCTTGGAATCTTTGCGAGTTCCTTCGTTGATTCCTTGGACTGGTTGCTCCCGGGTGTGTTTGTTTTTTTCCCTTGGAGGTTCCGTTGGATTCCCACAAGCCTTTTCCTCTTGAGTTTCCAAA